CAACAGTGAATTTTGCCTTTTCATATTTATAAATTAACACTTGGAGAGCTCAAAAACAATTTGAGAAGCATAGAAAAGATTTTTTTTAACTACACATATCAGCATGCCATCAGACAACAAAGCTCAAACATCTTTCAACATTCAAAATTACATTCAACATTACTTTAAAATTTTGTTTTAAAAAAATCTAATATATACTTACAGGAACTTGTAAAGAATTTATCCTTGTTCTAGTCTGTATGGGTGCAGTTGGGCTCCCCACAAATCGTGGCAAATTTTCAATACTTGATAAGCTGTTGTGCCGAGCAAAAGACGTGGCCGAAGGACATTTTGGTGGAGTACTACCATTGCTGATAGGACTAGTTTGTTGCACACCAGGTGTTGTTTCTCCAGAGGAGGCACTGTCACAGCTTGAAGTACGACCTCTTGCACCAGAATATGGAGTAGGATCAAAAGGCACTTCCTGTTTTACATTCTGAACATTGCCCAGAAGCAAGTCTTGAGCTTCACTTGGCAGCATAAACCAACGTAATGCAGCAGTATTTTGATCAAACATGAGTCGTTGGTCAGGAAGAGGATACCTCTGGGCCATCTTGATATTAAAAAAGAAAAATAGTCAGACAGTCAATAACAATCTACAAGAAACAAAAGAATAATTGGGTTGGAACAATCCTGATACTAACTTTTCTTGCTTTGTTGAAAATGTTTCTAGCAGTATGCAAGCAATCACCCGTGTCATGAGGACAAGGAGTTTGTCCAGATACACGACGTTCAAAGGATTGCATCTTTCCATCAACATAGCGAATAGATCCAAGCCACTTTCTGTCTCGGAAAACCTAAAATTTTGAAGAAAGTTTTTGTCATACTTGTCTGAATAAAGAAACAAAACTACAAAATCATGTAGATTAAAAAAATAAAAAAAAATTGTAATATTACCGTATTTGTGTTATGTCTCCATTCTCCAGTGTCTGGGTTCAAAATGTATTGAGGTAAAAGTTTCCAGCCTTCAGTTGCAACCATTTTCAGAGCTTCCAACACAAATGCTATCTCTGAGTCAGACATAAAGTATGGAATGGAAACTCTGGCAAATCCTGGCCTTAACATTTCATATGTTGAATGTTCTCCCTTCCTCCTTAAGTGAGTTCGATCTAAACGGCTATGAAACAAGTTTACATTGATTGGGAGAAAATATTTCTTGAAAGAAATGATAATTGTGTTTTATGTAAACCAACCTGTCTTCCATTAAAACTGCCTCATAATCAGCTGCTAGTTCTTCACTAATGCCAAGTAGATCTTGAGCATATGGACCCGCACAAGCACAACCCCCTCTCACTTGAATCCCAAATACGTCATTTAAGATAGCACAAACAAAATTGTGGTGTAGGAAAGTGCCTCGAGGGTGCCTAACCATGAAAGAAAACACTGGGAGTCTTTGAACAGATGAAGAATTATTACCAAGAAGTATAAGTTCTGGAATGGTGCGAATGTGTGCTAGAACCATTCTGAAACAAGAAAGCAAAGTCAAAAGTATTCCAAGAAGAACAATGTGAAGCACACATACAACACAATTTCATCAAAACCATACTTGCAAATTTTTTCCTCTCTGGCCATGATGCTTGGATGACCAACAGCTTCCTTAAGTTGCATTACTAAACCAGCACGCACAGACTCAACAATAGCTCCTGTGCCCCCTTCTTCCCTCATCTCTGTATCCTGAATTGCAGTTGAAAGCAAAAGCGAGTTTTAATACTGTATACAATTATTTTTGGGTCCACATTATGGACTCATGGCACACAATAGGATACTCTCCAGTGAGTAAAGACCCTGCATGGAAAGTGTTAAAAGAAAAAAAGACTACACGAAACAATACTAACTTTAAGATAGCGATGGCCACCTTGGGTGACAAAAAAGACAGTACCACCTCCACATCCATTTGGCACTGTGTTACGGAATAAAGACTTCTTTGCAACGAGTATTCCTGTAGAAACAATATGGAATTAGTTCTTAATAATAAAAAAAAAATGGAGATTCTTTTTTCAAAGAGGATATTTTTTATGAGTTATGCCCGTACCAGGGGTTTGTACACCTCCAACA